TTCGCGATATGAACTGGTCGTTTATCAACGTGTTCGAGCCAAGATCAAAAGAGCAATAAATAAAGAAGTGTTGTGCATGAGTCGTCGGATGGTACAGAAACGGAATCGGCGAAGAAGGCCCAGGAGGAAAGCTAATTAATGCCGATCGAAACCTATGGTGCTTGATAAATGGACAACTAATATTTGGACTAAGGGTGCCTTCTCCCTTCCCCTCACCGGCTGCGCTTTTTTTCTCGCTTTTTATCGCCGAGTTCTTTACATTGATCATCGTAGAAGACGCGTGATGGTGCACGAGAGGTTGAAAGGGGATGGATGACGACGAGCATACGCACAACTTACGCGCGTTTGGGTAAATATCTCCGCGGGTATTTACACGAGCGAGCTCGACTCCGAGATAGCCCGTGATTAATGGCCCTTCTTCAAGCTTTATTAACGACCTGTCCACCCAACCCCACCTTGACCACTTTTGGAAAACCTCGTGTAGCCGGCAAGTTCGCGTCATGATACGATTTTATTCAGACGCTTCCTGAAAATGCAGGGAGGAGAAAGGCTTGCTCGAACTCTTGCAATCAGCTCTCGTCGTTTGAGGATTTTGATCTTTCGAAATTCAAGGTTGCCGTTAAAAATTTATAGAATTAATTATTTGATTTATGGGATGGATTGTTTGCTCGTAACACACATTATTTTTTATCGATTATTCAATTCATACGTTGCGCGTGCACGTGTTAATTAATTATTATATACGATTCAATCGATTCTGCGAACGCGTATGGTTCTTCCGAGAACGGTCCTTTTGTTCTACTGTCGACGTTGAGTCACATGGCAAAAGGACCATAAGGTACCGTATAAATACATAGTAATCCTATCCGATAATAGTCGCACGGTCAATTAAGATGACCGTTATAAGAACCAATTAAACGTAAGTGCGTGACCATCATGGCTCGGGTTACGTATTTACGATCTAAAATTATGCGTTTTCGTCGCCCGCACTCTCCCATTACTTGCCCTACGATTTCTTTCTCAAGTGGCCCCCTCCACCCTCGCCTCTTACGATTATGAAATTTCATCTGTGTCCGTATGTGCACCTGATTTTATGCTACGCATATCTACTATATTCCCGACGCTTCGTCGGGGAAAACGTTTCCAAAGCTTCGTATAATTCGTCGTCAAAAGTCGGCCATAATTGGCGCAATTATGTGTATAATGCAATTATCAGTTCATTTCCTCGGTATACGGCTATACGATAGACTGAAGCGATACTCTTTGGAAATGCGTAAATAATATATTTGCGTATAAACGTGACGACCGGATGTGTGATCTACGTGATTAATCGCCGCGTTAATTAAAATGTTCGCTTAATAAGTTCGCTTAAACGGCGGGAAAAACAGCGCGGCGATTCATTTAGCAATTATTTTATGTAGTTTATACGCACATACACACCGCGAGTAAAGTACTTCGCACGATGCACACCCGCGCGTACGATAATGCAGCAGATTCCAAAATTGCACCGCGACAATAACGATTTCAGGTAGATTAATCTCTCCGATGGGACATCATGCACGATACGCTTTTAAGACATTCAACATCTCTGTGACATCTCTCTCTCTCTTCTTAAGGTGATGCTGGAGTCGTCTTTTTACTGATAAAAATGTCATCCCTACTTCCTATTAGTTTCATAGAATTAAAATTCCTACGATAATATATCCTATTAATATATTCGGCTCTGTATATTTTGTGTTCAAAGCAGAAAAAAATTAAAAAATTACAGATTTCTATAGCCATATTTATCTTAATATGGCGATCAGTGCTATCAATTTATCAAAACATTTACTTCATAAAAAAAGTTATGTAGATTATATGCTCGAAATAAAGCAGAGCCAGATGTAAAATAAATAAATAAATATGTGAATCGTTAGAATTAAGTTTAGAAGCCTAAACAAAGATATTTTGGTATTCTACGAATATGTATGTATTTATGTGTGCGATATTGATGCAATGGTATACATTGATATGTCGATGTCTCGTAAATCATATGTGGTTATTGTAACGTGTATAACTCGCATTTGATCGGTAAAACAGGACAACCCCTGCATCCCCTTAAGATTACACGAACAAAAAAATCTCGCGTGTGGACACGTACATGGAATGCGTCTTGAAAAGTGGTCCTTTTTTTCTGAAACCCTTTGTCGTCCTGGTTTCTCACATTCATAACTGGTTATACCAAACGAGTCGTCACAAGGGCACAAAAAATGGAGTGCGGCGTTTATCAAATATACCTACTTCGAAGGGTGACCACTGTGGAACCTGGTTCGTTTTTCACACACTCGCTATGTTATTTCTCCTTAATTAAAGATTTCGATATAAGAAAGTCGCTTCCAGCTGTGAAGATAATATTATATAATGTTATACGATCACATTATTTTGTATACTTTGTGTTCACACATTCGCGAGATTTTATGATTAGCTTATCTTGATTATCATATCGATTTTGTGATAATTTATAATGCGATAATTAATTATTTTATACATAATTTCTTGATGTTCTCAATATACCGATAACGTACTTGGTCGATAAATATCATAATAGAATATTTTGCGCCGTGGATAAAACATGCATATTTCTCTTTTCATATATTTGTTGTTTAATCATTTTGTGAAAATTTTATGCATTATTCTTTTCTCTATTTCTACTTTTAACGGGAGAAAAATAGAAATACATTATCCATTTGTTTTTAAATACTTTTATCGAAGTATCTCAGATTCGAATGTATGTATACGCGTGATGGTTTTCTTGGATAACATCAACTTTAAAAGGAGCAAATAAATTCTCGTTCGGTGTCGATACTTTCAGAAAAATGAACGGCAAGGGGATTGTTTTACGCCGGGAAAAAAGTAGTCTCCGACAAACTTGCAGCTTGAATACGATCGAAAGGACAACATTTTCCCGGCAGAGACATAGGCAGCGAACGCTACGTATGCTGATATATGGACCCGTCTCGCGTTGATAGATACCAGAAACTTTACAACTTTAATTTTTCCCTCGACGTCAATTTTGGGTTTTAATCTTGACCTACACCTCGGACAGGGCGCGTCAGACAAGAAAAGAATTATTACTGTTACAATTAAATAACGTCCTTCTCCACGTGAATTGTATTTGGATTTCGGGACTTTGAATATTTCATCTGAAAAGGGTTTACATTTTTCAGCATTAAAACAAGTTTTTTCAAAACGATAAATAGATAGATAATTTCACAAACTTTCGTCATTACCAAAAATAGAAGAATCTTCAAATACACGTAACAGACCTTTCGTGCAAAGCAGGATGAGATCATGAAAAATAAAATAATGTTTAATATGATGATGAATTACTTAAATACATCAGAAAACAAATAGCATGCATTATATAATACTTCTTTCGATTTTTTAATGTTCTCGGATCGATAACGAATATTAGTCTACCAATAAGTCTGATATTAATTATTTAATCTTATCAGACAGAAATATCGGCTTATGAGAAATTGCGTTAATAATATTATTGTAATATGTGAGATAAAATTTCTTATTAAAAGAATTTAAAAGTTTTTATTAAAAGATGGTATTATTATATCGTCCCGAGGCACTAATGATATGGTTGATAATAAATGTGCTCCATGTTAATCTTAATAGGTTAACATGACCCAAAGGAATGCCTTTCTGGTCAAGAAAGATGTATTCCTGTTTGGGACGTCCTGCATCAGGATTTTTTCGGTCTACCTATTCGGGACCCTTATTCATGTCAGGTGGTATTCATACTCAGGTGGCCAGCTTGCATCTGGCGAACCCATTGTTCACGCGTTAATGAAACACAGCCCGGCTTCGCCAACTTTTATCGTGGATATTTCAATTGCGAGTGCGAACAATTGATACTCCCGGCGTATATCCGCAATGGAAACATTCGGCACCTTATCGAACTTGTAGATATTGCGATTTAGCGCCGAGAATCAATTGCGCTTCAGACTAAAATATTTCATACCAATTGCAAAAGTCGCGTAACATTAAACAAATTTATTAATACTTTTTGAATCCACTATTTTTTCTGTTTTTGCATAAACTATTTCAACGAAACATACATTTTTCAAAACTTACAAAACAATCTATTCACTTCAGATCATTTTTCGTTAATTTAAAGAAAGATGTTTGATTGAAGTATTATTAAAATATTTTTAGATGATAACGTCATATGACTGAAGATAATCTATTATCTAGCCACATGGGTTTGAATTCAGACTAATGAAAGAAATTAAAAAGTTATATATTTTTTTTATTTTGCAAAAATATAATGATATTTGTACATCAGTGCTCTGTTGTAAATAAGTATAAATTGTAACAAACGTCATTACATTTCTAATATCACGAAGATGATTGTACATTTTTCAGTCAAGCATTATAGATCTGGAATGCGGAATTAACACACTTCACATAATAACGGCTATGTTCTGAATACCAGCCGTTTCTAAAAATCAACATCGTTCGCGCATTCACGTTAAAATTGACGAAGGTAACTCTTATTTCGAGCTCGACGGTCTCTCTTATTTTGCGAAATCACGTTTATCTTCTTTTTCAAAACTTCATCTCGTGCATTATGTCAAAATGATAAATATCTGCGTCTGTTTACACGAAACAGCCCGGAGCCTAAAATTCAGCGCGCGGTTTAATCCAACTGTTTTCCACATTGCCTTATTATCTTTGTTGCTATGCACGATATATGCGAGATATATTACGATAAAATTTAATGTACCGCGACTAAGACCGCGGCTGGTCCGAGCAATTCGCATTTCAAGAGACCATGCGTCTCGGTGGATGTTTGCACGCGTATACGCATCGAAGCGTTGCGAGTCGCTGCGAGAAAAAAAAATGGACAACGGCAGAGAAATTGATACGTGTGTGTAATGCGACTTGACTCCCATTTAGAACACCGGACGTATCCTCCCGATATTTTGCATTTCCAATGAAAAGTTATGATGCGTTTTACATCACACGAGACGTATTTCGCAAAATACATGGTGGTTGCGTTTATCCCGGTAATTGGGTCGACGGTAAAGCGAAACGTCGCGCGATACTCCAGTCTGTTCTTTCAATAAGTAGCATCTACAATTTCCGGTAGTTTAACGATTTGTACCCCCAGCTTAGACGATATAAAAATGCCCTGATACGAGAGCTACAATACTCGCGTTCGAAACAGCCGCTGCGGGCGGAAACGAAATTACGCACCGTGAACACGTCCGATCGATTGCCGGGAAAAACGAGTTTAGCCCGGCGGATTTCTCCTTCCTGTTCCGCAATGAATTTCCAAATCCAGAATCCTCGCTGACGGCTGATCGTCAATCGGGCCGATCCTTCTAGATAAAGCGACGGTCATCAGCGTCAGCGTCACATCGCGAGCGGTTCGATCGCGAACGGAGACGACGGATTAGTCATAAGGTAGTAGATACCGCTTGGTCTGAAGAGCGACTTGTGACCACCCATCATAGATGCGTGCGTGTCGTTACATAAACCCGACTTAAATTTAGAGAAACTGTCGCAGCTTCTCGCGAGGAATCCTACGTGACTAGTGATAGACTCGGCGAAGTACTGATACGAGCGAGCGTGAGAACACGAGCCGCCAAGATCCATCCCACAGCCGACTTGCTTTTGACCGCCGTTAGGATAAAAGTCAATATCTCCGATGGGTGCTGAGTAGCCAAGCAGACCACTGTTAGTATGGATGATCTCCACGTAATTCGCATCGTCTTTCGATATCCTGGATCCTGAACCTGACGACCAAAAGCCAGGCAAAGCTGGATCTAGTCCTGGAACGATAAATTTGCGCCATGACAGTGAATAATTATAATTAATTGATCGATTGAGACCAACATAATCAACTTTTATATTTGATAAATGAAACGAGCAATGACAACGTTCGATTAACACGTAAAAAAAAGTTTTTTTTCTATGAAAACGTAAAACTTTCTATAAAATAACGTATGCATATTGGATGCTTAATGCGTATCAAACATGAAAAATAAACGCATATTTCTAAAAAATTTGATAAACCTCACAAAATGTTTCTGTAAAAAGTAATAATACATTAATATTAAAAATATACTATCACATTTTTCTACATAAAAAGAAGGGAGAAATAAAATTCTTTTAATCGTTTATATAATCCCCAATGAGACTCAATAACGTTTGATAAAAAGAGTGGCTTCTTATCGCATACAAAAATTTTAAACACTAATCAGAATATTAAACATAAAGATACAATATATTTTATGCAACGTCAAATATCGTTCTTAGTCGAATATGAAAGCTATTAGATGTAAAATGTCAAGAACTTACCTACGGCGTAACCGATATCGGTGCTAGCGTTGTAAGCAGCGATTCCAACTACATGGGCACCAAGAGAGTGGCCGATCACTTTGGTTTCCCACGAATTCATTCCATACTTTACGAGAAAATCAATCATAGTGGCAACATATTGACCAACTACTGCGACACGCCCGCTAGCCGAAATATAGGACATGCTACTTATTGCACTCCAGTCGATGATAATAATGTTGTAATCGCTAATCTGAAGATAAGCTACAACATAAGAAGTAACAGACATTAGTAATAATCTAAGAAAAGTAACGAAAAGGAAAAGGTAACACTGTCTTGAGACTTCTAATCAATTTCTGTACAGAAAGAAATTAACATTCTATATGTTGAATTTCTATAATAATTCTCTTAAGTTACAAAACTAACTAATAAATATTTATACATTAATGACAAATAATCAAATACCGTCGCGAATTAAAATACACGATTCGCTTTTGCCAGAACTTTTCCATCCGTGAGTTATAATACGCGTCGGTTTTGTAAGATCGAAGTTGCTGTTCTTAAGAGCATCTTCGTCGTCGACATAGAGCTGCTCCGATTTGATGGGATTGTTTCTTTTGTACAGATAAAAGAGCACACTCTTTGATAAATCGCTGTCATTTTTATATGCACTCTGCTCGACGTGGTCGTCTTCCAATGTCAGCTTTACCAGGTTCTTGTTATCGTCGTATACATACGCTACTTCATTTTCAAATAATTCGTAATCCAATGAAGTAAAAATATCGTCCGAAAACACTTGCTCTTTCACTGGAAGCCCTGCGCAATCGAAGATACAAGATACATTGTATAATACAAAATGAGAAAGGAAATATATAAGAGGAATATATCAAATAAAACGAAAATATTGTTATAGTATAATGATTATCTTTCTATTCAAATTTTAAAAAGTTATACAAGTTAATATGCGAATTTAGAATGCAATAAATTCGACTTTTTACAGAAAAATACTTAAATATCTTTACCAGTTACAGTGCAGGCAAACAAGACACCAATTAGAACATGTATCTTCATGTTTAACATTATTCTATTGTTAATATCGCACATTCAGCCGCTGACTTATAAAGTGCCCCACTTGTATCAACATACTTATATACATATAAATTTAGCGATAAGATAAATTTCTTTTGTAGTATCCTAATTATAATTGATTATTTGATATAATATCTGAGATATCTTAATCAAATCGTAACATTTGCATCGATATATTTGCACAAATTTACTAAAATCTGAATTTCTTTTACATTTTGTTAAAATGTACGATACATTTTTTAATTTTTAGAAATAAATGAATGATTTAATATTTTTTTTATTTATGCATAGTCATTAATAAACTATTTTAACATGTACTGAGTATCAATGATAAGTAATAAGAATAAAACATAAAACGCAATTATATCATACAGTATATAAATAACGCAGTTCTAAACTTTATTGTGATTGAAAAGAAGAGAATTTTACTCAAGCTTTTAAAAGCTTAACACACAGAACAATACATACTATATATAAATTACTCGTTTCAAGTATTTTAAAAGTTCATAAATCCGCAAATTTATTATAAGTTCATTACAAGCATCAAATTTATTTAAAACATATCCTGATTCGCGTAATAAGTTTAAAATATTATAATTCAATCAAGATTATTAAATTAAAACAAATACGATTTGCTTATTATATAATGTAACTTCTTCGATAACATTTTGTGTAATATTTTTCAAAAAATAAGAAATTCTTATTTTGAGTATATGATAATGAGAGTTTCTCTCTCTCTCTCTCTCTCTCTCTCTCTAATAAATATAAAATATTTTATTTTTGTATATTAAATATAAAATTTTATTATCAAGAAAGAGAGAGAGAGAGAGAAAAAAATTCTTTGTTAAATATAATTGTTACTAAAAGAAAAAAATAAATTAAGTAATCACTTTCTTAGTAGTAGAATGATATTTTTCTGTGTGTACTAATGATTTTTAAAAATAAATAGAAATAAATTGCGAACAAGCTCATATTGATGATAACAGACACAATAAATTTCAAAAAGTCCTAATAATAAAAAGAGCACGATAAAAGAATTGGCAGAAAAAAACATTATATTATAAAGTAAGACAATATCTGTCGGAGCAAATCTTTAATGAAAGACCGATATAATATTGATAAGATGTCATTAATTTTTTTCAACGTTAATTATCTGATCCGTGTTTCGTCCAATTCTATCGCCATGTTGAGATTTACCATTTTTTTTCTGGTTTGTGCCGTAAATCAATTTCCTGTGTCCTCACTGAGATTATTTGATATATTTAATCAGCGGATGTTATTGATTTGACAAGTACTTTTGTTAAGATCAAGAGAATTGAAAGCCTAACGGGAATCCCACGTATAACAGAGATATTAATGGATATTTTATCGTACAGAAGAATTGTACACAAAACGCTAGAAATATGAAAATACAAATTAATACAGCGTAACAATTCGATAAATCATATAATTTAAATATAAAACGATTGGTCGGCTCGTATTCCGCACATTCCAATATCCCTTGAAAGAGTTTAATATTTTAAGGACATTATTATTCTCTATTATTATATTAATTACATCGAGTTAATATCGGGTTAATGATATAATTAAGCTATCAAGTAAATAGAGTTTTTATGCAATTCACGTTTTGATTGTAACCTCATTTTGGACAATCAATTATTTGTATATCAATTGCGTTATCCGCATTATCAATCATTCTTATAAAACATCAATAAGCGTTAATTATCCACATGTATCTCGTTTGATTTTTAAATGGTACTTTGAAATTCCATATGATATAAATTAAACATATGTATGTTTATGCGATAATATAAATATATAATACTGAAAAAGACAGATGCACATAAAAAAGTAATAATGCATTTTAATGCTAAAGTGCAACAAGAAACAGAAATAAGATTTAAGCGAGTAAGAAAAATGTAATATTTCTCTTATTCTTAATATACACTCAATCTAATCTAGTAAACGTTAGTTAACAAAGATCATCGATACATAGAAAGGAAAAATAAGAGAAATAGACTTAGAAACGGATATTGGATTGTTTTAAAAACGTCAGTGAATTAACAGTGACACATTAATAAGAGATATTAAAGATAATATTATATAATAGTTTCTTCTTCATATACGTCGATTTGTTATATCAAAACGTTAGCAAATCGGTTCGAATTTGTAGTACGGCTATATTGATGCTTATCTATGACATTTCGGAACACATTTTGCAATGTGCATAAATTTCAAATAGGCATTGTTGACAAGTATCAATGTCAAACATTTCACAGGGAAGTTCGCGATAACGAACAATATCAGACGATCTGATTGATCGGTATTTCGTTCTATGTGAGTCCTCGACTAGCAAGGTGGAAGTACGACGTGCGAGAAACGACTTACATGGACGACTAGGAAAATACGACCTCCTAAACGTGCGTGTTTTCCCACTGAGACATTTAATTCCCCCGTACTCACGGGTTTTTATTCGTAATTGAGTCCTACGGCGCGGTCCCCGTCGCGTTTACGTAAATTTTAAAATATTCCAATTAGTATAATGAAATTAGTGCGCTTATGAAAATTTCGCGGCATTAGCCGGGACGCGGGGAAAGACGATGTTAACGTGTCTATGAAAATTTTCATTTGCACATTGACGTGAGAGACTGTTAAACGAGCGCGGAAGGATTAAGAGACGGAAACCTGTTGTGGCGTGTGTTCTTTTTAAAAGCCGCGGTGAGTTCTCGCCCTCGGCGGTTACATTTCTCAGACAGAATCAAACAGGTTCGCTTCGTACACAGCGCGCGGGATAAAAACCAGTTTTAACGACCCGCTTGAAATTTTTATTGTACACAGAGCGCGCTCAGCGGAATGCATTCGATACAAATACTTTCCGATCTGTGGCGGCTATCGCCTTTGTTCCGATGCGTTTACAGGTGTTGAATATTAAAATGAGATGGGTTTATCGGAAAAATCGAGACGCGATCGGCTTACATTTTCCTCGTAAACTCCTCGTTTAATTTCGCCTATTGCGTTATTTGCAGACTGCTATGACGTAATTAACGGCAAATCAGCGATTAATAAATGTCATTATAATTTTTATATATTTCGATGTGTATTTGATACATTTATATATCGGGATAGATATTTTTCTCAAAAATTAGAACAATAAAAAGGAAAAATCGATTGGCCATTTTTTTTTAATTTTCGAATTCTCTCGGAAATTGATTTTTTTTTTTTCGTACATGAAAAAGAATAAAAAAGATTTTTTACACATTTTTCAGTAAGGCGTAGGTTACTATGCAGGAAGCGTGCAAAATTATGCTTAGATGACCGAAGACTCGACGTCCACGGTGCGGGCGCTTGCGTGAAGCTCGAAAATGAGGGGGACGACGGGGAGAAGCAAAGTGGGTGGTGGTCTGGGGGTGACGGGGGAACGGGGAGTTGGAGCTGTGAAAGCGAGGGCGCCTGCAGTGACTAGCCTCCATCGATTTACCGTGCGGCGCCATCTTGCCACCCTACGCCACGGGGGTTGACCACCCCTCTGCCACCCCTTTGCCCCCCTTCCGTCGCCGCCCGTCGGGGTCACCCCCCTCGAGGCAGAGGCAGACATTTTGAAAAATGATTCCGAAAGTCATCGTGGCCCGCACTGGCGTTTTTTAGCGGGCTCGACCCGGCCGCCCGGTCCACCCGACATCCCTCTCTTTTTCGCGCTTGGTCTTTCGCTTGGCATTCGAAGAGCAAGGGAAGAAAAAGCGGACGCGCGACAAAAAGAGGGAAAACTATCGCGGCAAAAGACGCGGAAATAAATGAGCGCGTAGCCGGAGTCTGCGTGTTCTGGTTATTAAGCCCTAAGTGATGAGATTTTCGCTACGCCGAGCACCAGCCATAACAAAACGCGCCAACTTTTTCATCACATCGAGTCGTAACGATCGTTCTTTTTTCACAAACAGCAACATTAATCATTTGCTACGTTTATCTGAAATCTCATTTCTAAGAATTCATCGACGTGACAGAAATATATATTTTCTTAATGTAAAAACGTATAATATAATAATAACTCGTAAAAAGTACAAATAATTAAAATACTTTTATTGTTTGACTTTTTGTCGAAATATCGACGGTTAGGGAAAAGGCTTGTTACTTTAATCTCTAAGGGGCGATATCGTCGTTGCGCCGAGAATTTATTATTGTCGCTGTATAATGCTGCGTCGAGCTATCTGTAATTATGCATATACGAGTAGAGATCTATCTATGTTCAAATACTAAACGGTTGACTTTTTAGAATTACTTATTTTCGAGGGACATTAATTTCCGTAACTGTAGCTGCTTATGTAGGCTGATTCGAATTTTGCGTTCATTTATATATGTGTGTGCATGTGTAGTCATCGATATTGGATTAAAATTACATCTTCCGACGAATAGTTTTCTATTATTTTTCTTGCCAGTGAGTTACGTTAGTTAGTTTGGATTAAATTACGGAGAACTTAAGGAGATCCCAACGATTTACTGAAAGGACGTGATATTTTAAATGGACGGTTGCAGCCTGTGGCTGGACATTCCGGATCAAAAGAGGCGAAGAACAAAGGTCGACAGGAGAGAAAGATTTCAATCGTGTCTACCAATCGCGGGATAAACAATACGGGGCTTTCGAGAATGTACGGTGCGGTCGATCGGCTCTCGATTAATCAGAAAAAATTCTTGTTTTCATGAAAAAAGATCACCATTCTAGACGATGGCGCAGAAACAAGGGACTCCGAAATCTCCTGGGAGTCGTACCTACGGTGTAGTAGTAAAATATATAAAGTGTGATAAGTGAATAAATTTTGATGTGCAAAAGTAATATTATATATATATATATATATGTATATATATATATATATGTCCAATGATATTTGTATTCAATTATGTATATATCCAACATTTATTTACACCACCAAGCTATCGTAACAGTGATCTAATAAAAAAATAATGAACAAGAGTTGACGCACATTTTTAAATAACATCTCATTTATATTCCACTCGGATAGTGT